TTTTTGAAACTGACTAAAAAGGAAAGGAGGTCATTCTTTGTGAAACGGAGGGAGTACTTATATAGTTTTACAACTTTTAATAGCTATGAACTGTGATTGTGCATTGAGAAGGATAATACTCACTCTGCTCTATGTAATCGGACACCGAATAGAAAATAATTATTTTTTAGAAAAAACAACAATTCGGAATTGAAACTTTTAATTTTATCTTGAATGAGAAGCTTTTAACGTTTGTATATGTTATGTATATTTAAAATCACAAGTTCTAAATTTTTTTATTACATTATTATTTTCTATCAAATAACTTTATATAAATTAAAATGGAGAAAATACGTGTAATATTTTTGACTCCAACACCTTCACCTACTTCAGGTATGTGATTATATTTACACATTTATGTAGCCTATAAGTAGGGCAAAAATAGTTGAACATTAGTACATTATTCATAACTGCAAAATTGATATGTCCCAACAAAAAAAATGATTTATAAGTTTTTATTATTTTATATTCAAAGAAAGCAGATGTAGCCTTTTGCAGGCTAAATAAATGTAAAAATATTAAAATTTAATATTATATTTGAACTTGTATTTAGCTGTACGATTAGTTTAGTGCTTTAAAATTTTGAAAATTGAATCTATTAAATTTAAACTGTAAATTAGCTTTTGAAGATATTGCAATGCAACATGCTAAATAACATTGTTATTTTATATAGAGAGATGTCAAAATTAGTTAATGAAAACATGATCATGCGTATACGTACTCATAATAATTATAAATTCGGATCATTTTTTGTTGTATTATATTCATGCTTTTGACTCGAAAAATAAATCTCTTAAATGGTGATTGATTTGCATATGTAGACAAGGTAGATAAGAGCTTGTGAAATCACACATCAATTTGTAAATTTTCATTTTTATTATTAATGATGATTGAAGTCGTATGATTGATACGTGTATGTATTATTCTCTTCTTTGTTTATATTTCGTATGTTCTCTATATGATATTTTTCAATTAAATTTTCATATGCAATTTTAGCTATCGTAATTCCATTTGGCTCATATTTTATGACTTTGTTGAACTAATTACTAACCAAGTTTCAAATTTTATAATTGATTTTGCGTCAAAAAATAAATTTTAAATATTGAAACACGCTCTTTAATTGGTACTTATTTCTTATGCTTTAAATAAATCTCCTTAATGAAGAGTGAAATTCAACATTGCAACTCAAAATTGTCTTTAGTAGGATGTATTTCATAAATGATTTTGTAATTATAATTTTTTTTAATAAAATATCATAATTATATTTTTTTTAATAATTAAAAAACACAAAAATCAAGAGAATTTTTCGATAAGTAATCATTTTTACTGTACATCTTTAACTCATTTTTATTTTTATTTTTATATTATAAATACATATTCAATTAAAATTAAAAGAGGACTAACTCAACACGTAATAATAGAACGACATTATTTTGCAAAATAATTTGCGTACAAAACTTCTTGTCTTCAAAATGATCATGATTCATGATATTGACTAATTGATTTTGTGGTTCATTATACCTTTTTATTATTATTTTTTTATGTGAAATTTTCAAAAAAGATAAATATTTTTAATCATAAAAAAATCTTTTAAAAAAATTCCTAATAAATTAACAACCCCTTGAATTTGTTACTAATTTTATTTAGTTATTCAAGTTACAATTTATTTCAACTAAGCATCTAAATACATAATATATGATTTCTATTAGACAGTTGTTACTCAAATCTAGAAAAAAAATTATGCTTTTAATTGTCTATTACGTAGACAAGTTAATTGCTTAAAATATGTCACCTTCTTTAATTACAGTATTGTTCTCAAATAAGTCACCAAATCTTAGTCTTGTTCCGATTAAGACTAATATGTATAACTAATGTAGATAACATATAGTATGAAGTTAACTTAACTACCTAATAAACGCTTGAGAACACCCATATCTTCTTTTCCAAATTTTGAATTAAAAGAGTCTGATAGAATTATTTTATCCTATGTTCGTGCTAAATTGGGACAAGTATTATAATGAGTGTCTAAATAAAATTTCTAACAAGTTTAAGTGTTCTAATGCATTAAATACTTTGTTTTGCTTAATATATTTCATTTAAACACTCAAATTAAGTCATATTTCAATAGAATACCTCAACTCATGTTAAAGTGTTTCAACTAGATACTTTCAATCTAATTTTTTTTTTTTTTTTTTACTCTTGTCCTTGTTCATCTATTATGTCAGTTCCTCTAATCATATGGATTAACCTTAATAAGTTGTTAAACCTTATATACTTTTTACTTGAGATTAATGCCTATAACTGTAAAAATAATATATTTCATATAATTAACTTAACTATCTAATAGATGAACAAAAATACACCAAAAAAATATCATTTTGTATTTATGCCAAACTATATGTGGGGTGTGGTATAATAGAGGGAAACAAAATAACATGATAAGCATTATTCCAGCTTTACATTTCCCCACCACTCACATGCCTTCATTTTTAGATTCTTACTTAGCATTTTGCGTCCCACCTTTTTTCTGCTGCGGCGCTGCCACGTTTTTCAACAGTTCAAATTGATATATTTCGAATTTTGAGATATAATATAATTTTTAAAATATTTTATTCTATGACAATATTCATATTGAATTCTAACTAAATTTGAATTTAAGATTCTAACCATCTCAAATTTCAAAAATTACCTAGATCAACTTTTGGCTGAATTTTCACTTTCATTTATTTATTAAAAAAATTTAAGTAAAATATATGTGCAAATATAAATATAATATGTTATAATTTATTTCTTAATACGACAAAAACTTGTTTTTAAAATTTTTAACTAAATCTATGATCAAATACTGGCTAATAAAACACAATTTGAGACATAATAGGAAAGTGGACAAATAATTTTTCAGTTTAGATCCAAAGAATTTAGTGAATGAGTGTAGCTATCTATCAATTCACAAAATATTAAAATATTATTAGTACTTAGCATTAAGAATTAAGTGACAGCTCATCATATTGGCTCCAGCCTGGAAAAAAATAAAACAGAAAAACAATACTTTGGATTTGACAAATTAATTAAAGATGTTAGGTAATTGTCTCTCATAATGACAAGAATGTCTCTTACAAGTTTTAATTTTGTTCTTCTATTGCATGCTTTATGTTTCATTAATTAAGGCGCCATATTAGGGGGGAAAATGATTAAAAAATATATAATTTTTTAAAACTATACATTTTACATTTTTTAAAAATATTTATTATTTTTTATTTTCAGCATTCAATTTTACCCATAGAATGTGTTTGGTAGGACGGGAAAATATTTTCTTAAAAAATGAGTGAATTTCTTACTTGTTTTCTAAATTTTTGTAACTAATGAATAAAATATTGTCTAAAAAATTTTTATACTGTAATTAAGCAAAATACTAAGGGCTTGTTTGATTGAGGATAAGAGATAACTAATCTCGAGATTAATTTTAGGATGAAAGTGTCAATTGATTGGAACAAACTAAAATAACGAGATAATTTATCACAAAATTAGTTATTCCTGTATTGTATTGTTATTTTATCCCACCCCACAATGACGATGGAATAACAGTCCTGAAATAACTAATTTTCAAATAATTATTTCCTAAATAACTATTTGTCAAACAACCAAACTCTAAAAGGGTAAGATAAAATGGGGTGAGATCGTCAAGGGATGAGAGTTAGAAGCGTCGAAGTGATATGAAATTTGTTCTCTATTTCTATTAGAAACCTATTTTTTATTAAATATTTATTTTCCTTATTTTTAAAAAGTTGTTTTCTTAAAAGAAATATTTTTCTAATTGTTATAATTAAACAAACATAAAAATTCCATGTATATATTTTTAAAAGATATTTTCCTTTTATAAAACACTATATTAATGATGCTTCTTTAAAGAGTGATGATATATTTAAAATTATAAAATTCAAATAACATTTTTAATATACCATAAAACATTTAATTTAAGATCATAATACAATAAACAATTTTGCCTCTAAATGAATGAGAGGAATGAATTCATATATGAATGTATATATGTACAAATTTTAATAAACAAGTTTTAGGACCATTTATTAAGATTTGATTTTGGACCAACAAATTCATTTAATCATGCATGCACATTAAGAATTTTATGTCACAAGAATTACCCCACTTTACTCCGAAAAACACCAAACCTATAACATTTTGATCATACAAAACCAGCGAAACTCATTATCTTATTTTCAAAATCTTTTGAAATATGTGGGGGATTGTTAGCAATATTATAATTATTTCAAAAGATTTAGTTACTTTAAGCCAAAATAAAATATTTAACATGTGACATTTCTACTACTTGTCATCCAACTTGGTGACCAAGTATTGCCTTACTTGGTGCCAAAGTATTGTCTTACTTGGTGATCACCAAGTGTTATTTTTACTTGATGACAAAGTAAGTCACTTATTAACCTCCTTACTATCTCTATATAAGGATCATTTGTGACTTCATTAAGCATGAACTAAGGGAGAACATATTACCAAAGAGAAATAGAAAACGTTTTTCTTTCAAACACTTTCTTTCAACGGTCTTGTTGGTTTTGTAATATTTATATTTTGTTGATTTCTGTGTCCTCTAATTAATTTAGAGAAGACTTGTTTAATTCTGGGGAAACATTTAACACTGCTAAAATAATTTCTTAGGACAGTGTCTAGCACGACTCAAGTATTATATAAATATATATATACACATATATATTACTTAAGAATATTATTGTAGTAGTATTTATCCTAATTCTTGTATTATTATTTTGATATTATATTTCCCCATCTATTATATCATATTTTTTCCAACAGTCTAAGAAACTATGGCAAATAATATGTCTTAATACTACTGATAATATTTATGATGGTGCTACAAAAGTTATTACTTTTCCGGTCACTATGTCAGAAGTTTATGGTATAGCAAACTACAAAAAAGAGTCATTCAAAGAAGAGGAATCAACACGGCAAGCAAACTTAGTACAAGACTGAAGGAGTAACAACAAAAGGTATGTTAATAAGTCTGATGGTTACAAGCCTTATAATCCCAATTTTAAGCAAAAGAAAGACACTTGTTTTACTTGTGGAAAATCAGGTCATCATGCCGCAAAGTGTAGGAGGAGAGTAAAAAATGACAAAGAAAAGTGTTATCCTCCCAAGGCTAATTTAACTGAAGGAGATGAAATTATTGCAACTGTCATTTCTCAAGTAAACATTGTAGCACATATAAAAGAATGGGTGGTAGACTCTGGGGCTACTCGGCACATTTGTGCGAATCGAGAAGCATTTGCCTCCTATACATCAATAGGGGATGACAGTGAAGTAGTCTACCTTGGAGACTCAAGAACTACTAAAGTCTTGGGTAAGGGTAAAGTGCTCCTGAAACTTACTTCAGGAAAAACTTTAGCCCTTATGAATGTGCTACATGTTCCTACAATGAGTGCAAACCTGATTTCCGTAGACTTGCTTAATAAAGCTAAAGTAAAGTGTCATTTGAATTCGAAAAGATAATACTAACAAAAAATAATGTGTTTGTGAGAAAAGACTATTGTAACAAGGGACTTTTCGTACTTAATGTTTGTAATGTTGTGAATGAAAAAGCATCTACTTCTGCTTACATGATATAATCTATTTCTTTATGGCATGCTAGATTAGGACATATCAATTTCTCTTATATAAAAAATATGCAATTACTTGGTTTGATATCTGACTTAGATTCAAATAATATTAATAAATGTGAAATATGTGTTGAAGCTAAAACTACTAACTACTAAGGAGTCATATTTTTCAGTAAGTAGAGAAACTGAATTATTGTCTCTAATTCACACTGATTTAGGTGATTTAAACAAACAATGACTAGAGGTGGTAAAAGATATTATGTAACTTTTATTGATGATTTTTCTAGATTTACTAAGTTATATTTACTTAGAAATAAAGATGATGCTTTTAAATGCCTTTATTTCTAATAAAACTTAATGATGGAATAATTGCAATTGATTATGTGAAGTCAGAATTGAATTCGGCTGATTCACTGACTAAACCCATGGGAAGAAAGTTAATTCTTCAATCCTCGAAAGAGATGGGGTTAAGACCAATATGATTGTCAATAGAGATGGTAACCCAACCTATGTGATTGGATATCCCACGAAGTAGATTCATAATAACAAGTCGATATTGACACTACGCACTAATAGAGAGTGCTTGAACTGCTACTAATTATGAGGGATGAGTTATTACTCTTAATGAATTCATAGTCCTTATGGATGGTGTATTTAAAGCAGTATACACTTGATGAATTCACCTATATGAGAAGTGGAGTGTGGCCGCTCCTATGAGACTTTGGCCTAGTCTCTAGAGCTCTCATGAATAACCAGGCACGCACATGGCTTATTGGCGCAAAATCGCATTGAACAACAAAATATGAGGATTAAAATGTGATTGATAGAATCTCTGACTTACAAAAGAATAATTGGTTCATAGAAATTTTATATTTCACCAATGATTCTGTAAGTTAAATTTTATCAATCTAAGTTTAATTCATCGTCCGAAAAACACCAAACCTATAACATTTTGATCATACAAAACCAGCAAAACTCATTATCTTATTTTCAAAATCTTTTGGAATATGTGGGGGATTGTTAGCAATATTATAATTATTTCAAAAGATTTAGTTAGTTTGAGCCAAAGTAAAAGATTTAACATGTGACATTTCTACTACTTTATCATCCAACTTGGTGACTAAGTATTGCCTTACTTGGTGCCAAAGTATTGTCTTACTTGGTGACCAAGTGTTATGTTTACTTGGTGACAAAGTAAGTCACTTATTAACCTCCTTACTATCTCTATATAAGGATCATTTGTGACTTCATTAAGCATGAACTAAGGGAGAACATATTACCAAAGAGAAATAGAAAATGTTTTTTTTTCAAACACTTTCTTTCAACGGTCTTGCTGGTTTTGTAGTATTTATATTTTGTTGATTTCTGTGTTCTCTAATTAATTTAGAGAAGGCTTGTTTAATTCTGGGAAAACATTTTACACTGCTGAATAGTTTCTTAGGACAGTGCCTAGCACGACTCAAGTATATATATATATACATATATATTACTTAAGAATATTATTGTAGTAGTATTTATTCTAATTCTTGTATTATTATTTTGATATTAATTTTTCCCCATCTATTATATCATATTTTTTCCACCAATTACTATACAAAATCATCCAGATTATCTTTCTCTATATTAATAAAATAATAATAATTTTTCCCTTCTACTCTCATCTAATCGGTTCATGCACATATTTCACTTTTTTTTTATATAATTATGATTCAATGTAACACAAAATATTTTCGATAAATACTTATTGTATCGATATTTATGTCAAATCAATTTAAATTTTTATAACTAAATGATAATTATGATTGTTCAAAGATGAACAAGGCTCCATGCCACAAAATGCAGATCTTATATTCAGATATAAATGCGTGGTAAATATATTTTTTAAATTATTTCTATAATTTTTAATTTATTTATTTAATATTTTAATATAAATACGTGGTATATAAAAAAACAATATTTTGCTCTTTGTTCTTATCTAACCGCAGCTTCCACAATGTAGTGGTCCACGCGCCGTTGATGTCATTTTCGGTTTTCGTTCTCCGCTCGTACTTATCGCTCAATTTTCATGCATACAGATCACCTTCCATCTCTTATCGGGTACCCTAAGCTAACGTTCCATATCGAGTGGTTCGATTTTAAAGTTTATCTACTATTATTTATCAATAATTAATCATTATTAATTTAATTGTTAAAATTTCAGGTATAAAAAAATTGAAAATTAATTAGGAAAATAAAATGGTAAATTAAATGAACTATGCATATAAGTTGTCAGATCCCCATCTCAATTGAAAACAAACAATGACACTTTGTAGAATAGTCGATAGTTTGAGATAGTAAAAAAAAATAATATGAAATTATGCCCTAAGTTAAAGACTTTATATATCGAAATTTGATATATATTTTTAAACATAATGTTTCTTAACCCTTAACCAGATATCTTGAGTTCAGGTTTTGGATATAGAGAAAATCTTATCGAAAGCGTGACTATTTGACTCTGAATGATCTTGCAATGCACGATTTGAATTTAGTCAAAACCCCAATACGAGCTCTGGACACCAGGTCATGATCATAAGGGTTGTGATTCTTACTCATCCATATTATGAGTATTAAACATAGTGCTTCTTCACTGTCAATCAGATGTCTCTGATTTGAGTCTTACGTATGGAGAAAATTTTATCAAGAGTGTCATCCCAAATAATCATACATTCCGCAATTTAAATTTAGTCAAAGCTCCAATATGAGCTCTGAACAACAGGTCACAATGATAAGAGTTATGATTCTTACTCATCCATATTATGGAGTAAGACACTCTTGCTGATTGTACTACTAGGCCCCTTGCACTTTCACCACATGGGATTCCTTCATTTGAATGGGACCCACATTTGTCCACCAATAATTGATAAACTTTCCTAAACCTTTCTGTACTCTTGCTGGCAATACTTGCCTCTATTACTCAATATATTATGACTTGTTCATATGACAATATTATTTATATATAATATTTACATTAAATTATATTAATTTATTAGGATTAAATAATTTACTAAAGAAAAAAATATATGCTACTTAATTATAACAAAATTGTGATTTTACTAGCAAACAAATACTTCTTGAGAAAATAAAGAATTGAATTTGATTTTCTCTCTTACTTATTTTGATGATCATGTATAAGAGTTGATGTCTACCTAATATTCAAAGGATTAGAGAAATATGTGGTAATGTTTTTTATAAAAAACCCACAAAGGAAAATATATAATACCTACTTTTTTTTCTCTATCAAATCGATTTAGCAACTAGTTTAACAAGAATTTGTGATTAATCAAAGTTCTTTATATACACTTGAGCTTGCGCTTGTACTTGCACTTGGTTTAGATCGCGTTGCATGAAATTCAGTTAAAATGGTTGAATTTTAGTTATTTTTGTATAACTTCAGTCATTTCTATTTGTTGTTCATGAACATATGATTGAAATTCAAGTAAAAATAATTGATTATCAGATAAAAATAGACAAAAATAACTTATTATTCAACCGTATAGATTGAAATTCAAATAAAATAGGATGAAACGTGATAAAATAACTGAAATTCAAATAAAAATGAAAACTCATCATATATATCTAAACTTTTGATACTATATTTGAAGTTAAATATATCAACACTAACTTTAGACCGTGTTGAAAATCATGTTAAAGTGTGTGATCATCTTTAGTCACACGTTTTAATATGATATCAGAACAGACCAAAGTCCTGAGATCAAATCTCACTATTACACATATATAAAAAAATTCCATATGATTGGCACATGAAAAAAGAATTAGACTCACACATGAGTGTATAATAAAAATATGCTTCCTCTAAGGTTAAACTTTAAGATGAAATAGTTACATACTTCAATCAACAGTATATTTGAATACCCATATATTTTCACTCATTTATTGATATGAGTAAACATATGACATATATATGTTTTTACCTTATGATTGTATTTGTAGCACCAATGCACTTCACCACATGGGAAAATACCTTTTGTGGGATCCACAATGACCAACAATAATTGATAATTCCTCTTAATCCCCTCTGTACTCCTGCTGGCAACACTTGCCTCTAAGCTTCTTCTTGTTCTTCATGTTCTTATTCTCCTCCACCATCATATCAACAAAAAAAAAATCCCACTTTTTAAAATCCCCAAATTAATAAATTTCTCAAAACCCCAAATCTTTTTTTCACTCTTTCTATGCTCTAACCAAAAAAAAACATTTTTTTTGGTTATAATATACCAAAATGGTGGTTCTTGGAAATTCCTTTGTGATATTTACATTTGTTTTGTGTTCTATATGGGTATTTACATCAGCAGATTCATCTATATATGAAGTTCTTAAATCCCATGGATTGCCAATGGGATTACTACCAAAGGGTGTGAGGAATTTCACTTTAGATAATTCTGGGAATTTTGTGGTTCATTTAGATCAACCTTGTAATTCAAAATTTGAGAAAAAAGAAAATGAATTGCACTATGAAAGGAATGTTTCAGGGAGTTTGAGTTTTGGTCAAATTGATTTGATTTCTGGGATTTCTGCTAAAGATTTGTTTTTGTGGTTTCAAGTTAAGAAAATCTATGTGTCATCTTCAAGTTCTGGGGTGATTTATTTTGATGTTGGAGTTGTTTCTAAGCAGTTTTCATTGTCTTCATTTGATAATCCAAAGGAATGTACTGCTGTTCAGGTTACAGATCTTGAAGATGCCAAACAGGACTCTAAGGTCTTGTTTTTTTTTTCATGATTGCTTTGTTTAATTTTGTTTATTATGTGTATACATTAAGCCCGACTAATTTGGATTCGTGTCTGCATAGTCCTTATTAGGAATTTCTGAGTTGACTATTTGATTCTCAAGATTCTATAACTAATAGGGAAGGACAAGTTTTGTGCTATTTGAGTGAAATATAGAGATTTCATGAACTTATGCATCAACATTTTTGTTTGTTTGTTTGTTTGTTTATTAGTCATTCCATATTGGGAAATTTCTAATTCGTCGATACGAGAAGAGAATTGTTGTGAGAATGAATCAATATTTGTATACATTAAGCCCGACTAGTCTGGATTCGTGCATGTGTAGTAGTTCTTATTTGGAGTTTCTGAGTTGACTATTTGCTTTTCAAGATTCTATGACTAATAGGGAGGGATAAAATCTTTGCTATTTGAGTGCAATATAGAGATTTTCATCAACTTATGCATCAACATTTTTGTTTGTTTGTTTATTATTCATTCCATAATGGGAAATCTCTAATTCAGCGATAAGAGAAGAGAATTGTTGTGTGAATGAATCAATATTTGTATACATTAAGCCCGACTAGTCTGGATTCGTGCATGTGTAGTAGTTCTTATTTGGAGTTTCTGAGTTGACTATTTGCTTTTCAAGATTCTATGACTAATAGGGAGGGATAAAATCTTTGCTATTTGAGTGCAATATAGAGATTTTCATCAACTTATGCATCAACATTTTTGTTTGTTTGTTTATTATTCATTCCATAATGGGAAATCTCTAATTCAGCGATAAGAGAAGAGAATTGTTGTGTGAATGAATCAATATTTGTATACATTAAGCCCGACTAGTCTGGATTCGTGCTAGTGTAGTAGTCCTTATTAGGAGTTTCTTGATTGGTTATTTGATTCTCAAAGTTCTATGATTAATAGAGACAAATTTATTGAGTATTCGATTTCGAAATGATTTTGTATTGAACTTCTTGGTTACAAGATCTGAACTTTAGTCCTTGATAGTAATCAAATATAGTCGTTGTTTTGATTTCTTGAAATGGTTTTTTGCATTTCTGTCCGTTTGTTGATTAAAGCTGAAAATTTTCATATCTAGATTGTTACAGGCAGAATGTTTCAAGAATTTATAAATACTTTGTTCTTTGTTGCTGTCAGCATTATGCATAATGTGCTACAAGTGATTCTTAGTATTACTTTTCTTGCTGACACCAACTAGTTTGGAATTGATTCGTTATTGATCGATTCGTTTTTTAATATGTGAGCAGAGTCTATCCGGAAACATTCGATACAAGCTTGATCAGGGGAGTATTGGCAGTGCTATTTTGTAGAATATTTCAGTTCAAAATTTGGTTACAGAGTTGTTGCACATAGCTCAATCAAGTTCTTTGGATGGTCTATCATTCCTTGTATGTAAATTGTCTGCAGAGAGTTTAGTGCCTTTGAAAACAAATTGTGCTATACTGGTTTGCATTTTCTTGTCTAGTAAAGACAATTGCGAATTCAGAATCTACAGTCAGTGAATTCGGAAATCGAATATTAGAAATTGGAATCAAGAAAAGGAGGTAAGCAAGTAAGATACTGATGCCAAATTGTTTGGAGGGGTATAGGGATGCAGGTTCATCTGCTCAAAAAAATGTGAAATTTCTCAGATAAGGTTTGTTTCTTTTTTGTTGGATTCATTTATGGACATAGTCATAGTTATGGAATTTAAAGCAAATCACTTTTTTTTTTGTAGTTGGGAGGCATAGAATATGAAATAATGAAATAAATTTGCCCTTTCCTTTCTTGTACTATTTCTTGTCATTGTATTTTGAATTTTGATAGTAATTTTACATTTAATGTGCTAGTATGCATGAACTCATTCTTTAAAAGGAAGTTCTGGTTTGCAATGCAGAAAGGGTGGTCCAAACCACATACTCCCTACTTTTCAATTTGTTTATTTGGTTTCGATTTGGCAAGAAGTTTGAGAAAATAAATACGTAAGACTTTTGAATATTGTGGTCTTAAACTGAAAATATGAAGAATATATCAAAATGATTTTTAATCTTGTAGTCTGAAACATATCAGGTGAAAAGTTAGAATTAAAGAGTTGTCGAAACAAGAGAGGAATTATTTTTGAAACAGGCTAAAAAGAAAGGTACAAAAAATAGATCGAAACAAAGGAAGTAGGTTGTTTTGTTTTATAACATTAGTTAGATTCACCTTGCACCTCGATTCTTTCACTTGATACATTTTGCTAGTAGTACATGTATTAGTTAAGTTTGTCCACTAACAAGAGAGAGGAACTACTATGTTTTTTTTGGGTTCTATCGAGATTTTATTTTGATTTTTATCCTATTTCATTGACCGTTAGACCAGAAAGAAAGATATGTTGATTTCTTTACAAAGAGGACAAACTTTCATGCTCTTAGTGGCGGAGCCACTTTAGAGTTAGGGCTTCTCCAAAGCTCCTTTGATGAAAAATTATATTATTTATATATGATTAAAATAATTTTTTAAGTATATATAGTAGATGTCGAACCCCCTTCGATTACTTCGTGTATCTATTTTTTCAAATTTTGAACTCTCTTATTAAAAATTCCGACTCCGCCACTGTTATCCCGCACAAAAGCAAAGTTAGGGAGGAATGAGGCATTTCATGAAAGGTTGGAATATGTATAATTGGTTGTTTGGCCTAAAAGGTTTTTTTTCATGTATGTGTGGGATTTGCAAGTTAAAAAGAAAATTTGTCTTTTGCTGTTTTAAAATTGAAAGAGCTGTAATTTGCCAGAGTGGTTTTCCACTTCCATTAGTATCTTTCATTCTGTCAAAAGTTGTTATGACAACAGAAAAGTCACCACCAACTTTTTTTCCAATGCACATTCGGTCATTGCAAGCCATGCTTTGTTTTTGTTTTTCATATGATGTGATGCATTTATATTCGTATTAAAGTTGGATTAAATTTGAATTCACATTGAAAAAGTATTTTCTAAAAAAAAACCATTTCATACTGACTTTTTTTAACACCTTCCTAGGAGCTCCCCAACCTTCGAATTAGAAGTGAGGGGTGTTTATCATTCGAGCAACTCTCTCGTCACAAAGGAGTTGAGTCCAAGACCTGTGTTAAAGATGAGCTTCAACTTTTTTCCAATGCACATTTGGTCACAACAAGCCATGCTTTGGTTTTTATTTTTCATCTGATGTTTTGTATTGTTAAGGTCTGATTAGGTATGAATTCACGTTGAAAAAGTGTTTTTTAATAATGACAACTCCTCCATACGCATAACTTGATTCAAGATCACTTTGAGCATCAACTTTTTCCTATGCTGCATTTGGTTGCTGCAACCATGCTTTGTTTTTGTTTTTTCATCTGATGTGATGTATGTTATTTCTTTAATTAAAAAAAATATCATACGTTGAACTTGAATTCAAGACCTATATTAAAGATGATCATCAACTCTTTTTCTTTCTCCAATGCACATTAGGTCAGCCTCCTTTTAGGCTTTAGTGCATCACCTTGCGTAGTTGTGTTAGTGTTGTCCTTATCGGGAGACTGAGAGCAACAATAACAATAATATGGCCAATAGGTCGGTTCATGATTATATATTTATAAATATTTTGTAAGCATATAAGATTTGAATAAGATAATCAATTTTTTGTAAATTCATATATTGTACTCTAGATTTACCTCTAATGGATAGGATCAACCTTATAGACCCTATTTAAAGCACAATATATCTAGATAATTTACAATAATGGCTAACCCCAAATAATCCCTTGACCATATTGAAGCATATTTCATGTGGACACTATTTTTTTTAGTTGGGTGATTCTTTCTTCTTTTTTTTAGAAAAAAAATAATATTTGGCAAAGTTATCCTGACTTTGTATTGGTGGGAGATAGTTAGCTATGAAAAATAAAAGTAGCCCAGTGTACGAAATACCTAATGATATTGAAGGCTCGGAAAAAAATTACACTCCAAAGAGATATATATTGATAGTGTATTATGATGCAAATATTAATGATTAATTTCGAAGATTAAATACATATTCTATGAATTATGCAAAGATAAATTTTTATTTATTATTGCTATGAAACTTCACTTCTATAATAATCGGTAATTAATAAATAATTTGAAGTATAAATGCCAGATGGCTGGTCAAAATACCATCATTATAATAAATATATAAAAATAATAGTAATCATCTTAGAAATGGTCAAAATATTTAGGAGTAGTTGATACAAACATCATATACCACATAGATTTTATGTCTCTACGTGGGGAGGAATGGAAATATTAATAAGGGTTACGATAAAATGATAAGTATTACTTTTGTTATTGATTAGTGGTTTTAGGTTTGAGCATTAAATATGAAATTATATTTATCAGGGAGCAGTTAATTTTAAAATATGTGATTTTTCGACGCAAATTTGAATTTTAGTTGAATTCGAATTTAGTCGAACATTGTGTGAGGAATTAAAAAAATAGTAAAAATGAATTATTATAGTGAAAACCCATATCACAACACTAGATATGAAATCGTCTTTGTTATAAAATATTTAACATCTCAAAATGTAATTGTGCAACATAAATTCTATTTAGTTGAATTTAATTGAATTTCAATACGAGTATTCGACATCATATAAAAAATGAAAATGGAATATTATAGTGAAGGTCCATATCACTATTTGTTGACTCTTGAGCACTTGCTACGTGTTGGATTTTAGGTGGTTATTATTTGTATAGTTTTTTTTGTCTTTTCAAAATTCAATAAATAATTAATAAAAATTTTAGTTGGTTTTATTGAAAAAGAAAAAAGAACACTTGCTGTCCTTTTTGTTCTTGTCTGCGATGCTTCTAATTAAAAGGTCCATATCTTTTTTTCCTCCCTCCCCTCCACATGTTGAAGATTAGGATTATGTCAATTTAATTATTCTTATAGTGGAACAGTTAGGGATTTTAAAAATAATAATTAGGGAAATGAAGCAAAACAAAAATAATAATTTAGGATCCCTTTTTTTAAATAATCTTTCGCTTTATTTGAAACGCAGTTTGATCATGAAAGTTTTAAATTTAACTTGACGGTATATTTCAAATTTAGGATACATAGGGGAGACACAAATCTGAGAGGGGATATGGATGCATCAGAGAGGGGATAAAACATGCGAACACATAAGGGTATTCGAAAGCAGAGGGATGTATCAAAGTGGGGAGGAATGTATCGGGAGAGATGTATCCGAGAGAGATAGGGATATGTTAACGAGAGGGGAGTGATGTATATTTTTGAAATTTTTTCAAATAGTAGAAATTTTAGAAAATTATAATAAAATATGATGTTTATTTAGGTAATTTTCCATAATATATATTCCGATCATATTGATAAACTAAATGATAGAACGATATATTTACGTAAGTTCTCCTTGATCTTATAGTAGTGAACCCACGTTTGGGCCGTAAGTTGCAATTGTTTGTTGGGCTTTATAGTTTGTATGCAGGCCCGGTTTGTTGCACTTATGAATTATGTTATCCACTTTCAGCATCCTAATTTAAAATGTGTCAATATTTACAAATTATTTAAAATATAGTCAGTTTTGGCAACATCAATGTAGCATTCCTAGTATAATTTCATTAAAAGTATTTTTCTTCATGCTGAATACAAAATATGGGTAATATTTGATGTTAGCCTTCAAAAATGCAGTTTAGCCTTCAATTTTCGCTTCAAGTTCACAACTTCACGTTGTACAAACTGTCAAAGTCTAAAGTAAGAATCATGTTCCTCTTAATTATTTCTCTTTGTGTTACATTTATATATAGAGAGAGTTTTGTTATTATTGTTTCTATTTTATGAGCATCTATAAAGCTACATATTGTAGTGTTGCGTCAAATTATTGGACAAGTCATATATTTATTTTATAAGCATTTTCTTATTGGTTAAATCAAAAACCAAATCGTTAAGGATCAAAACAGATAAATCAAAAACCAATAAAAAATATCTTATCGATTTAAAAATTGAAAGGAATAAACATTACCTAACTTTTATCCTAAAACTATTTATGCTTGTGGCCAATAACTGATAAGGTATTGTGAATATTTAATATTTATGTAGTAGTAAATTATTATAGTCTTAATGAGTTATTAGTTTATCCCATAACCCAATTTTAAAAACCAAAACCGAATCAATATTCCAATTATTAAAAAAAAAACGCTAACCCAATAATCAAATAACAATAAACCAATAAGTAACACTTTTTATCATTTTGGTCTTGCACTTTTTACGATGTACGTATTCTTGTAATGTGTTACGACATTATATTGTGAACTCGCTCATAAAATCATACGAACGAAGTAAATATTAACTTCATTAATTTTTATTTTTCACTTTTAATATATATAAAAAAATATACTTAATATAATTTTTTTCTATTTTACCCGTAATATTAACTACTTAATTTTAAATTAGTTTTTAAGATCTAAAATACTCGTATTAATTATTATTATTTTTAAAACATGAAAAGTCCAAAAGGGATCAATAAAAATGAACGAATGGAGTAGAAAAGATAAACACAATTAGAAAAAGATCACCTATAATTGATAATGAAATTAACTAGGACTAGGACGGTAGTGGAATGATAAGTACTCATTCATTTTTAAACAAGTTGTCTCGGGTTTTAATCTCCTTGGTACATAATTTCCCTTGTTATGAAACATTTTACCCCAACATACTGAGTCGCCTTTGTTAGAGAGTGATTACCTCTAATATGAGACTTTTCGATGTGAATCTGAGTTTAGTCAGATTTATCAACACCGAATGAGAAATAAAAAAAATTGATTATGCACAAATCAAAATTCATTAAATTTGTTTTTTTTTTCTTTTCTTTTTGAATATTCCCAAGTTAGCCCATCATTTGCATAATAAAGTGACCAATGCATAGTTTTGCTTAAAAATGGAAACAAAAAATATGCAGATGAAATCTTATTTTATTTTCTGTATATCACGTGATATCTCCTTCTGTACGTAGAAAATCAGCTGAAAAGGCCCAATCCTATAAAAAAGCAAAATCCATTCTGATAAAAAGGACAAAAAAGAGCAATAAATTACTGACCCTGCCATAAATACCCCTATTCAATTCGCTAAAATTGTGGATTTTCGAAATTGTACTGAAAAACTGAGGGGTCTCGTTGAATTGCTGCCGTTGGTTCTTACTTTCGTTAAAGTATTAATTTGACGTATCCCAAAAATAAATAAATTAATAATTTTACTATATTGTATTTTTCAAAAATAACTATATTAATTATAAGAATAAAATAAACATTACGTGTTAAATTTATTTTTAACTAAATAAATCGAAATGTGGTCTAATTTTAATATAGCAGACTAATAAAAATAAACAAAGGTAAATGTTCAACTAGAAAAGAAAGAGAAAGGTTCGAACCCAACATATGGTCCCTACAGTGGATTCAGATTATTCGAACTTCAATATAAATATTAAATAATAAACATAAAAGAAAGAGAAAATCTTGCGCTACATAGACACAATACAATGTCTCACTCTCAGAGGTGGCCCTTGAGTTCAGTTGCTTTTGGTTTAATATGGTATCAATAGCAATAACAATTTTTACAATTTGTCGGTCCCCGATTATAAGTTCTCGTTGTTCACGACCTATAGGAACCAGGCTATCTACCGCTTTTAAACCTGTTTGCATAGGCTCATGCATTGATTTACGTTCAATAATCTCTAAGTCTGAATATCCATTCTTTGTTCTTTTAATATTATTTATGTTGTTCAAAATTAAATCGAACTCAACAATTTTAACAGAGAAAATGCTACTAAAATTTATTGATAATGATTGATTTAGAGATTCCGTAACAATTTAAGTTTGAAATTATCAGCTTAAAAAACCAATCCTAAAACTAAAAGAAAAAAAAGAAGCAAAATCTCTTCTATTTATATAAGGACGAAAAAAGACAATAGTTTACTGACACAGTGCCATAAATACCCCTGTTCATTTCTTTTCACGCTAAAATTGCAACTAAGAATGGCAATTTCGCAATTCTACTTAAAACTGAGGGTTTATTGCTGCTGTCGTTACTCACTTTTGTTTTGTTACTATCTCTGAACAGAACAGAACGTTTCAATGGAAAATTATGAGAAAATCTTGATTTTAGTCCCTCAAATGTTTATAAATTTCGATTTAAATCCTTTTTTATGGCATCTATTTAAGAATAATAAACCTTTAATTGCTTTGAATGTCCACTTTTGTTCTTTATTATTTTAGGGACGCTTAAGATCAAACCAATTTAATAATTCAAAATGAAAATTATTATAATTTACCGATTTAAATTTAAAATGTTGTAATTTATTGTATCTAATATTGCTGCTTTGAAAAAAATAATTAAATGATTCAAATTCTAAAATACGATATTATTATTTTTAGAATTTAACTTGTCAATCATTATTTTATATAAGGATTAAAATCTTTATTATGACTCAATCCTCATCAAATGAAATGAACGTCTTAATTCCTCCCTCAGAACCTCCACCCCGAATATGTATACCATAAATGAATTGAAGATATATTTTAGTTTATTAAAAATCAGTATTTAAAGATAAATTTTTTACATTTAACTTGACATAAATTCCAAACATAAAAAACCAGTTTAGAACAAACACAATTTCATTTTTCATACTAAATGCTGAATGTGCTCAATTGAATGTTATAATGACTAAAACGAACCTTTACTAATAGTTAAATGGACTAAATGTGCAATTATCCAATAAACGCACAAAACATTTCCGGTTCTTCACTTCCTATAAATACCCAACTGCATTTCTCCAACTTTTATCCAAAATTCATTTGGCATTTTCGCTTTTTCTCTCTGTTCTTCTTCTCCGCTTTCTTCTCCTGTACGTTTTTGTTTTCTCTCTCTTAGGGTTTTGCAGTGAAACAATGGCTGAAGAGGCACATAATGGAGGAGGAGCTGAGAAGGAAGCAACTAAGGTTGCCGTCGTCTTCACGGCGGTAAAGCCGCAGCTGTTCGTGAAAGCGCCGAAGGCTAAAGATGCTGTTCAGTTCTACAAAAATGCTTTTGGTGCTGAGGAGGTTGGACGTGTGAACAACCCTAAGAGGAAGGCCGAGCAGGAGACACCGCTCATTCTCTCTGTTGAACTTAAGATTGGTTCATTTTTCTTCATTGTCTCTGACCTTACTGAAGAGGACTCTACTGCTCCGTACGTATTTCTTATTTTTTGCGTTTTTACACTTGCTTTTGCATGTTATTGGCTCGATTTCTTCGTTTTTGTTTCTAAAATAGTCCGATCTGTGATGTAGACGATCTATACATTGATTTTCTTAAACAACACTTGGAAAACCTTTTTGTGAATGCTTCTGTTGTGAAGTAAAAAGTGGTGTAGATATTTTGAAGAGCGCTCACTGAAAATATTTTGAGTGCTTCTCACAAAGTATGTTACAAAAACTTAAAATGAAGTAATGAGTGTTTTCTTTCGTTAACTTCCTAAAATATTCTCACTAGAAACGTCCTGTTTTACTGTTGTTGAGTTGTTTTTTTTAATGGTTGTGTTTGTGTATTTTGCTCTGTTTTCCGTATTTTGTATGCGTTTTCGGTTTGAGAAGATGTCTCTGAGTTAATTTTGCATGCTTCTGGATGTTCAATGTGTTATTTGAATGTTGACAGTTTTATTTGATCTATATAGACGTCTATTTGCTTTGCGTTTTAAGTTTGTTGCGACCGTTGTGGTTTCAGAATGCAGATCTGAGTTGATATGTTCTTGTATTTGCAACGTTTTACCTTGTTAAAATATGAAGAAACACATGTTTTTATAGTAAATAATTTACTCCAAGTTTCTTAGAAACAAAGGCCTTGGCATTGTTATGTATAGTTGTTTTTTTACATGTGTATGTGGGTGAGACGTTGCTATTGCGTGATGATTTTTATTTTGTTTCGTTTATTTGAACATCAAGCTGATACTATTGTTTCTTATTGTTTAGTGTGAAAACTACAACTGGATCTGTTTTCTGCTTGGAGACTGAGAAAGTTATTTCTGCTGAGGCCAAGGCTATCACTGCTGGCGCAATCGCTGAGATTAGAGCAAAAGATGGTGATGCTGATGGTGCTCGTATAGGGTCAAAGCTGATTGATCCTTATGGCAATGTCTGGTTGATCTGCCCACCAGTGAAGGAATCCGAGTAATTGCTGAAGTCCATTAACACCTCTTGTTCAGTTGCTTTTGTGTTTTTACTGCTTTCAATTAAATTCCGGTTTTGTATACCGAAGATGAAACTTTCATATTAACACTCTAGTTAGGTGTTATGGGGTTAACTTTTTTGGGGTATCGATGCCCATTGTTGATTTTGAGCAGTGAGAACTTTTGTCTGTAGTTAATCTGACACCGCCTTCCTTTCTAGTAGATGATGAATTCTGCTTATTATTGCTCCTCTTATTGGATCATTTTGCTTTGTTTTGTCTAATCGAAATGGCCGGTTGCCTCGTTAGCCACAATATTTATAAAGTAAATTAGCGAAGCATGCTATTTTTGCTTCTTTTCTAGAGGCAAGCACTACTAAGATAGTAATAAGAGAAACTTTGTAACTATATCCTTGATACATCATATGGTATATTATTTACATTTTCTTCAAATGATTTCGTGTCCCGGTTTCAAACATCATTCAAATTCAACCTGCATGTGATGTATTTCATTTTTTTAAAATAGGATTAACATTTTTTTTTATATCTGCGTATTGTATTTAGCTTTCAAATATACATTTATACTTTCAACTATTTTAGCAAAAGCTGTTATTTTACCACTTGTTTTATACTCTAATTTGAACTATTCCTAATTAATATATTAAATTTATTGTTTTCACAATAAATATAATACAATATAAATGGGATGTTATTGGTGAAATTTAAAAAGGGTTTATGGTTGAAGGCTGTTCATCAACAACGTTTAATGGTGAAGGAAAAGGGTGACAAATTGATGCTTTACGTATTTTTTTAATGACATCTATGTGGACACGCGTCCAACAAAGTATACGAATAAATGCCTTTTTAGGGGATACTTTACGAGCATACTTGTGGGTTAGAAAATTAAATATTTAGGATTTTAGGTGTTGTTTGGTAGGGTGCATTAATAAAAATAATGTATAGTGTAGTTGTAATGTTTTGTTTGATATATATCTTTTATTAATTAGATATTTTATAGTGTATCAAGATGTATATTACTAGTATCATGAAATTTTAAGTATTAATAATGTAAAGAGATATAATGCATGCATTAGTATATGTAAAGACATCATTACTTTTCAGAACTTTTTTATATTTTCGTAATAATTGTGGCGAGTATCTTTATAAATAAGTATTTTAATATAATAAATTCTATTTTTAATTCATCAAATTAAACAATATATAAGTAATAATCTATGTATAATTAATGGAAGCATTATAATCAACCCTATCAACCGACCCCTTTGAGTGGAACAACTAGAGGATTAGTTATTAGACTAGAGGTTTTCGAAACTCTGCTCTTGTTCGAAGAAAAGAGAAAAAGAGAAAAAATAGGCAATTTAATTTGATCGTGAAGAAATTAGTTAATTAACTTGATGAGTTACAAATGAACAACCACTTATACATATTATTAGTTAAGGAATAATAGATGAATAATAATTAATATTGTAAAAGATTCTTATATTTACTACTGAGTCCACTCTTTAAAACATTAAAATACACTAGAAATATTCAAAATTTTCATATGAAATCTCTATACTTCTCGAGTCTCTTTTCATGTAAGTCAATTTTATTGAGTAAGGCAAGACACTAATAAAGAATGTCCGATAAGATAACAGTGAAATAATATTCAAGTCTAAACTTTCCCTTTTAATTTGAATCAAGAGAGGACAAACTAAATCAAGCACAACAAAGAATGGACAATAACTGTATCAACTAAATAAAAATAAGAAGGCAAGAATAAACCAATCAACAGCAAGACACAAAGATTTACGTGAAAAATTCTTTGATGTGAAGACTAAAAAACAATGGGACCAAAAGTATAATCACCAAGAATTACAATATTGTTCTCCAAAATTTGCCACAAAATAAGTGCCAAACAACGAAACTAAATTGCACCAAAACTAGAGGACTAAAGGAGACAATTCACCCAAAAATGAGCTAATGTTCACGCCTCAAAATCAGAAGCTACAAATAACCAATCCGATCTCCACCGTTGAAATACAAGAACTAGATGCTGAAAATTACCAGTTAAAGTTTGAATATGATCCAACAGTTAATGAAGCAGAAAACTTTGTTAAAGAGGACTGCCTGAATAGAAATTTCTTGAAGAAAGACGAAATTTCTCTCTCTCTCAATCTCTAAAACGTCTCTCTTGATTTTTCCCTCTTGTGTGTCTGAAAATAAGACCTAAAGAAGTTGTATATATTCTACATAATATTGGATTTATGAGCAAAAATGGGCTGAGATCTCTTATTTATTCGCATAGAAAGAAAAAAGAAGACCCTAAACCCAACAAGTTTTTGTTGTACACATAAACTTACTACATGAAAAAAATAATAATTCAAATTAGCGCTTACATATCATGATGACATGACAAGTTGTTAAACTAATTTTATTCAACTAATCAAACAAAAAAATCCTTATTTGTATACTAGATGAACAATAGTGTTCAAGATTGATAATTCAATGCATCAAGTTGTGGTTGAGAAAGTTGGGAGACATGGTGAGACTCGTGAAGATTTCTCTGTTTATCAATGGACTCTGTTTCTCATTCTCTAAAAGCCAACATACTCTTTACTTGATTATTAAACTAGATTTCTCTTTTGCCCCAATATTAGATAAAGTAATGATACTCTAATTGACATATTCAATCAGACGACATCTTAATTCTATTTTAAATTACTTCTACTACTTTTAAAATAATTTGGATAATTTGTGTGTCCGTTGTTACAGATAAACAGAACAGGCGGTGGCACTTTGCGCACCCACCTGAAAGAAAGTACTCGGCAAAAGGACAAATGAAGAAAAATCAGTTACAAAAAGGGCAAAATTTGCATCCATGGAAGAAGAAGAGACATGCAAGAGTGGAATTTTCCACTGTCCTATTAAATGCACAATTCGAACGCTTGATATTACAAACAAGGGCGGATCTAAGTGGGGGCAGGGGTTCACCCTAATCCCTCGGCCGAAAAATTACATTGTATATATAAGGCCAGATTTGAATATTATGCGCATATAACTTTAAATGAACCCATTCAAGATAATTGAAAGGCTTAGCTCAGTGGCCTTGGGAGTTCATCAAGTAGCTGAGGTCACGTGATCAATCCCATTTGACATTATATTTTGTATGTTTTATGATGCCCTTTTAATCAGAGGCGTATCCAAGATTTTGGCTAGATGGGTGCACGATTACGAAAAAATGTATTTTAAATATAAATTTGATTGATTTGACTTTTAGTTCGTAATATGAACCATTAAAGTTTAAAAATTATAGGTCCAAAGTATATAATACTACTAGTTTTAAATTTTAATATACACATTTGATTTAATTATATAAAAATTTTACAATGCTAAATTTTTTAGGAATTCTCAATGTAACACACTTGAAAATTTTGAAAGAATAAAGGAAAAAAACAAATGAAAAATTAGTTGAAACGACAAAAGTGTAACTGATAACCACTTGAAAAAGTGTTACTCAAAGAGACAAGATAGATATAAGATTTAAATTTCTATCTCTCACTTAGAGAAGTGCACCCAATCATCATCGCATTATTATATGATACTTTGAACATGGGTTCACACATTTATATTTAAATATTTTTTTAAAAATATAACACTACTATATATGATCTAGAGAGGGAAGCATGGGTTCACGTGAACCCACAACACCCCCTCTAGATACGCCTCTGGATGAACATGACACGTATCAGCTCAGATCCAATAGGTAGGTTGATATATCTTCGAAATTTTTCATGTCTTTGAGAACTATAATTAAAACTATCCTCCCTATAATTTATGTTGAAAATGCTCTAAGCATTTGAAAATTTTCATGCTTATAAATATGTGAAAGCTAATTTCCTTAATCAGGGGATGTGAGACTAGGGAAAAATTTAGATAGGATTAAGAAGGTTCATTCGACTAATATAATTTGTTTATTGATTCATTTATTAAAATGTCAAGATTATGAGGGTATAATTTCATATATGTCACTTATTAATATATAGATATATAATGTTTTTGGTTATTTTTAAATTTTTTGTTTTTTTTGAGTACTGAATATGCATCATAATTGTAATATTGATAATTTAATTTTTATACACTTAAATCGAGAATCTATCCAGAATAATCTTCGTAGTAAAAGTTATTCACACCATCCGTATCAAAAGCCAAAAATGAAATGCGATGGTGACAAAAAAAGAAACTAGAAAAATCGAAACATTCCTACTCGAACAAGAAGTCCTATAATTTACAACTCTTTGCAATTCTTCGTAATAAAATTGTGTACCCGGCATCCTTGTCAAAAGCCAAAAATAAAAGCGATGGTGACTAAGAGTTAGTTACATAAGATCCGATGGGCCCGCCCTAAAATGCAATATGCGTTATCTGAGATCAATATATACTTTACACTTCCTTTTCTTTCCATTTATCTCTCCCTTTATCTCTCTCTTTATCTGAATTTACAATTGCAGAGACGAAGTTGCTTATTTGGGTTTCGAAAATTTGAAGAAAAAAAATCAAGTGTTGAAGTTTTTGATTAGTTTTATTGGTTGATTTGCTGAAATGGGAGTGTTTAATTTTACTGTGATTCCGATTGTAGATGACGACCCACATTTTCCTTCATCATCCTCTTCAAAATCTTGGTAATTTTCTCTTTGTGATTGCCTGTTATCTGTTTGGTTAAAGTTTTCTTCATGGCGAAAATTGATCAGTGACGGTTCAGTACCTCTCTCTCTGTATTCAGAAACGTAGAGACGAAGCTGATTTGGGTTTCGTTAAGAAATAATAATCAAGTGTTGAAGTTTCTGATGAGTTTAATTGGTTGATTTGCTAAAATGGGAGTGCTCAATTTACTGTGATTTCGATTGTAGATGACGACCCACATGTTCCAGCCTACTTTTATCTCCTTGACCAGTAACGGTTCAGTCACTCTGTTCTAGAATTTTGTCTTCTTTTCTGCTCCATTTTAATTGATAGGAAAGTTGGGTGTATATGTATTTATCTCCTCCCTCTCTCTGTATTCGGAATCGCAGAGACGAAACTGCTGTTTCGGGTTCCTTTTAATTTCAAAGACTTTCAAGTGGTGAAGTTTCTGATGAGTTTAATTAGTTGATTTGCTAAAATGGGAGTGTTCAATTTCACTGTGATTCCGATTCTCCTCAAAATTTCTTTGCGATTGCCTGTTATCAGTGACGGTTCAGTCCTTCTGTTCTAGAATTTTGTGTTGTTTTAGTCGGTTCATTTTGGCTTCTTATATATATATATATGAGTTACCATTTTCTGTGGCTAATTACGATTTTTCCTTTTTTAGTTTGCTTACCAAAATTTGATTTCCTAAGTTGTATATATCTTCTCCCTATCTCTCTCTGTATTCAGAATCGCAGAGAAGAAGAAGCTGATTTGGGTTCCTTTTAATTTGAAAAAAATTAGTGTTGAGGTTTTTGATGAGTTTAAGCTGATTTGCAAAATGGGAGTGTTCGATTTCACTGTGATTCCGATTCTCGATGACCCACGTTCTCCTTCATCACCCTCTTCAAAATCTTGGTAACATTTTCTTATCCTTTATGTGTTTTATTAATAGTTCTCTTGATGGGGGCAAATTTGGTGTGATGGGTTATCAAAAACAACCTCTCTACCTTCATAGGGTAGGGGTAAGGCTGCTTAAATACCACCCTCACTTGATCAACTTGTGGGATTACACGGGGTTTGTTGTCTTTGTTGTTGCTTCAATCCAAGCATTCTCGAAAATAGTCTCTCTAACTTCACAGTTCAGGGTAGGAGTAAGACTATGTACACGTCATGTTGCTTTTGTTTTTATAGCTTCAATCTAAACATTATGGGAAACAACCTCTCTACCTTCACAGGGTAGGAGCACCCTCGCTTGATCAACTTGTGGGATTATGCGGGGTTTGTTGTTGTTGTTGTTATCGCTCCAATCCAAACATTATCGGAAATAGTATCTACCTTCACGGTCTAGGGTACGAGTAAGGCTACGTACACACCACCTTCCACAAAACTCACTTGTTGAATTATATTGGATATGTTGTTGGTTCAGTCGTTTTCTTTTTTTCCCAAAAAAATCTGTCTTTTTGTGTATTGATTGTATTTCTTCCTTGAAGATAAGAGTGGATCTACTATTTGAGTAGCATTTGTGTTTTGGTTGGTTCATTTTTGGCTTCTTCTTTGTGCTCTGTTTTAATTGTTGGAAATTTCGGTGTATAGCACTGCTTCTTCTTGTTTTTATTCTCCTTTTTATTTTAAGTTGTAATCCTTGTAGACAAGGGTGGATGTAATATTTGAGTAGCATTTGTGTTTGAAACATTTAAGTTGAAAATTTTTCCTTTAAAAGAAGTATGTTTATATTGTAATTGTGTTAAAGTACTACTCATTCTATTTCATTTTATATGGCGGTATTTGATTTGACATGTAGTCCAAAAGAAAGAAAGAAAACATTTAAGGGACTAAAAAGGGACCAGTGTAGTGTAAACTTGTCCTCTTTAATTTGATATTTATATGCCTATAAGAGCAATGTCATTACGCGCAAAATGAAAAGTTTAAACTGAAAAGTTTTTCACGAAGTAGTCAATCTTTTAGGAACAAATTAAAAAGGGACTAGTGTCGTGTAAAATGAAACAAAGGAAGGTAATAAGAGCAATTGATTTAAGATTTTGAATTCACCACTACTTGAAAATTTGTAATTTGTCATTGAAAAATTGCCATTTGTTTTTTAATTTCGAAGGTTTGATGATTAGTCCCTGTTTGTTTTTTCCAGAACCTGGTTTTGTGATAAGTGGGGCTATGGTATTTGAATAGCATCTATGTTTGAACTATTCAAGTTGAATATTTTTTAAGAATGTATATTTATCTTGTTATTGCATTCACTGTCACCAAATACTATTCATTTTGTTACACTTTATGTATGACGGTATTTGACTTGATACAAAGCTTTAAAAGACAGACAAAGAACTATAGGCGCATGCCCGGAAGTACATTAGACTTGTCTATATGTCTTAAGAGCATGTCATTAAGCGCAAAATGAGAAGTTCATCTGAGAAGTGTCATTTTTATTGAAACAGACTAGAAGTGTCATTCTTAAGTGCAAGTGATTTAAGATCTTGAATTCGCCTCTTCTTGAGAATGTGCTCTGCCATTTGTTTTTATTTTTATTTTTAATGTTTGATGATAAACATCAAGAATTTGATCTGTTTCACATTGTTGGTGCATTTTCTAGTATAAATTTGTCTTTTTCCAATCACTGAATTATTGAAAATTGCCTTTATCTATCACATTTTTTGTTGTTTAGTTGATTTGTTTCTGTCTTTTGTAATATCCACAGTCATAATACGATGGAGAAGGGATTGAAATCAAGTCACTTACTAGTTAAAGAGATGAACAAGAAAAAAGAAAGAATCAGCAAGTCTAAAGCTACTAGTAGTGCTGCAGCATCAATGAAGTTTTGTGTATGTGCACCCCCAACCCACCCTGACTCATTCAAATGTCGTCTTCACCGAGCCACCACGTCAGCTCACCCGAGAACCGGTAAATACTTCTGCTACATATGTAGAAAAAAGGGTTATGATAAGAAACATTCAATTTTCCGTGTTCTCACGAAGTGTGTGTTTTGTTCTTCTTATCAGTTTCGTTGTCAACATCAAAGAAGATTTGCTTATGTGCACCTGCCACCCACCCTGGCTCATTCAAGTGCCGCCTTCACCGAACCACCACTTCATCTCACACAAGAACCGGTAAATACTTCTGCTACGAAAAAATGGTTTTTGACAAGAAAGGTTCAATTTTTCGTGTTCTCACAAACCATGTGTTTTCTTTTCCTTCCTTTTTTGCAGTTTCATCGTCCGCTCATCACATAAATGGCGTCAAAGGTACAAAAAACTTGAATCCCTTAAAGCTGGTCACGTCTTCACAAAGTGGCAGAGTCAGAAATTCTAGCAAAGGGAATGTTCATGGAAAGCCTAAACTATCGAGATTCGGTAGGGCTGCTCTTGCTCATGCTGCTGCTGCTGCAACTTCTAGTGTACAAATCCAACCAATTTCTGCAGCATTTGGACAAATGAGTCTTAGTTAGAGAGCCAATAGATGGGCAAACAAGAAAAAGAAAAACTCAAGATCAAGATTCTACTTTTTAAAGAAGTTACTTGATTAATGATTACTAGATCTTGCTTACTTGCTCTGTATAGTTTCAATTTGGTAAATACCAAAAAAAAATGACAACTATACAACTGTAAATATCTTTTTCTCTTTACTTGGGAATGGCTTTGTAAATAGTGACATATAATCAAGAAGTACCTGCAGCAGCTACACTCAAGTTTTTAGTACTGATGAGTGTCTTGGTTGTTATCAATGCTGTGTTAACTTGACTGCAAATATCCATATGTTACTATTTCTATCCAATTTTTGCTATTTTATTATTGGCCAAACACATATGCAGACTTTTAAATTTGTCCCTAAATTTCATTTTGGCACTTTAACTCAACCCTGTTCCATTTTAACCCTTCAACTCCAATTTTTATGTTTCATTTTGGCACTTCTTTCCAAAGAATCAACAAAGTGAGATGTGTGTACTTCACATGCCATTATTGTGTTAAAAAATAATGGATGAACATCATTTTTTTTTAAATATTTTTTTTTTAGAGTTTCTGTACATTATTGTGTGAAAAAATAATTGGTGAAAGTGTGTTGATTTTTTTAAAAAACAATTAGTTAATTTAAATAGCATCACATATATTGATTTTCATATTTAGTCTATTTGGACTAACTCAAATATCAGCTTTCTAATTTTTCATTCAATTAAATACGAGTAAAAAAAACTTATGTTCATTGCTAATTAATAACACTACAAAAAAATGTTGAAACTCGATAGACTTCGTTGGGTTGTCATTGATTTTTTTAAGAAAGAAAATCGACGCAGTTTCGTCGATTATTTTTCACGCAAAAATATAGGAAAACTCTTAAAAAGAAATTGTTACTTTTTTTATTAAAAAAAACAATGATAATCCGTCAGTTTAAATTTTTTAATAATAAAAGATTACCCTTCAACTCTATTTCTTTTATGTACCATTTAACACAAAATACTAAATTTATGATTTCTTTATTTTTATTTATGTTCTTCATTTCCACTATTTCATTTTAAAAATCAACGTCATATTTTAAAAATAATAATAATAATAATGGATGAACATCATTTTTAAATAAATATATATTTTTAGAGTTTCTGTACATTATTGTGTGAAAAAATAATTGGTGAAAGTGTGTTGATTTTTTTAAAAAACAATTAGTTAATTTAAATAGCATCACATATATTGATTTTCATATTTAGTCTATTTGGACTAACTCAAATATCAGCTTTCTAATTTTTCATTCAATTAAATACGAGTAAAAAAAACTTATGTTCATTGCTAATTAATAACACTACAAAAAAATGTTGAAACTCGATAGACTTCGTTGGGTTGTCATTGATTTTTTTAAGAAAGAAAATCGACGCAGTTTCGTCGATTATTTTTCACGCAAAATATAGGAAAACTCTTAAAAAGAAATTGTTACTTTTTTTATTAAAAAAAACAATGATAATCCGTCAGTTTAAATTTTTTACAATAATTAACAGATGATCGTCAATTTTTAAAATGCAAAATTGCAGTTGAATAACATATATAGAAATAAAGAAATCATAAAATTAGTATTTTGTGTTAAATGGTACATAAAAGAAATAGAGTTGAAGGGTAATCTTTTATAATTTTTTTAAAAAATACTTTTTTTTTTGTCTTTCACTCTCTTAGAGAATGTGTGATGCACACTCTCTGTCACATCACTTAGAAGTGCCAAAATGGAACATAAAAAATGAAATTGAAGGGTTAAAATGGAACAAGGTTGAGTTGGAGTGTCAAAATGAAATTTAGGAACAAGTTTAAGGGTATGTATATGTGTTTGACCTTTATTATTCTACTGTATTTAGATGTTTATGGAATATCCCATGTAACTTATGGTCTATGGATAGATAACATTGACCTGTGTTTGTTTTCGAAATCCCCGCAAGGGTGTGTGTGTTTGATCTTCTAAAAGCTATGTATTGTGTTGATATTTTTGTTGTACATATGTGTTTGTGGTGGTATAATTTTCCCCAACTTGTATCGTTTTGCTCTATAATGGACGTCCCTCGAAAATAAAATAATAAAATTGTATAATCTCTTATGGTTGTGTATTAATATGGTGGCACATTTTGTGACATTATGACAATTAAGATAAATGAAATTCATGTGTTTTGGTATGTTCAATGTTGTGAGTAAATAGGATTTTATTTTTATTTTTGTGCAATTTTATTAAAAAAGACTTAATCATTTATTGCAAAATATTAACTTTTCCCAAAGACTTTTGATGCTTGAAAAAATAGATAAAGAATACTAGAATGTACTCGAATCAATTTTTTTTTATTTAAACCACTAGAAATGTTCAATTTGGTTATATACAAATAAATCAATCTAAGCTAGCATTTGACTACAAAATTTGTATAAGATTTTAAAAAGTTATCTTCAAATATCTATTTGATCATGAAAATTGATCAGATTATAAAAATCAATCTTCAAATATTTTCATCAATTTTCGAAGAGAAATTTCACATTCACCCTCAAAACCTTTTCATAAGAGAAATTTGACTATAGCCAAACATAATATCACCATACAAAAATTACAATTTCGAAAACTCAATATCTTTTAATTTTAACTTCAAAATCTACGCAAAACATAAAATTTCAAAAACTCAATATTTTCAATTTTAGCTTCAAACATGCAATTTGCGAAAGCTCAATATTTTCAATTTCTGCTTCAAAAACTATAACAAAACATATAATTTTGAAAATTCAATATTTTTCAATTTCAACTTCAAAATCTATGGCAAAACACGAGCGGAACCAACCTTAGAAAGCGTGGATAAGGCGGAACCAACCACTAATAGGCCCCCCTTGTGGCCTTCCTTTGTTTGTCTTCTTCCTCGATTTCCCCCCAACTAGAGAGAAAAATCAATGGCTATACAGTTCCATTTCTACCAAATATTCTTGTTTTTTCTCTTCAAATTAATTTAATGGAGGCAACTTCAACTGCAACTGCGCTTCGTCGTCTTTCTATTCTCTCCTCCCATTTTCGTACTCATTGCTCGTATCTTCAAGTGTCGGCATTCAATTGCAGCTCCACCGATGGTGAAAATCAAGAAAATGGATGTGTTTTCTGTCTGATTGTTCGAGGTGAAGCACCTGCTTTAAAGGTACAGTCCTTATTATCACGTTTGTTAAACAGCCGGTTTTCTCACTTGGATCAATTTGTATTTGTCTTCAATTAGTTTCTATAATCGAATTGGGTCGATTTTATAGTTTTTTCAGCTGTTTTAATGGAATCCTTTTGAGTAAAAGAACAGTCTTTGAAATAAACTCCACCTTCAATTTTGTGAATTGTTAATGACTACTACACCAATTACGAAAGTAGAATGTTTGGTTGAGGTGATTTTGGTATGTGATTCGTGTTTAACTCATGGGTTTGGAATCTTTAGTCAAACAATGTTAAATTAATGATTAGGAAGAGTATATTTGAATGACCTGCAAACACTGGCACATGATGATCCCCTTTTGGGTACAGTACACTCATTTTAGGTACATTAGATTTAGGACTAACATGATTGTTTCTAAATTAGGTTTTAGGCACATGATGATCTAAATTAGATTTTAGGCACATGATGATCCCCTTTTGGGTACAGTACACTCATTTTAGGTACATTAGATTTAGGACTAACATGATTGTTTCTAAATTAGGCATTCTACTGACGGATGTCTTAACTAAATTAGAATTAGATACCAAAAGAACAGGTTTACATAAGCTGTACAAGCCTTGGTGAGCAGAGTTTACCCGGTACCTGTATTGGTGGGAAGTAGCAGGTACCTCGTGGAATTTGTTGAGTTATGTGCAAGTTGGCCCGGACACCGCGATTATTTGAGATAAAAAGAAGAACAGGTTTATATAAGAAAAAGTGGAACTTATTAGTTAGTGAATAAGCTCTTCTTCAAGTTTCAGAGTTGTTGGAGTTATCCACCCTTTAGGTGCGGGTAAGTGATAGAGTAACCTACATTGGTTGATGGAATGAGTTGTTATGGCTTTGTATGGTTTTGGACAATCTTTCACTTCATAAGCTAGCTTTTAGGGTTGAGCTAAGCCCAATATTTGTTTTCTTTATAATGTTATAAGTTGTCTCCTTATATGATCTTGGATAATCCTCATTTTTTTACTTTAGTTTTAGGATTTGTTGGTCTCAAGGGTCAATTTTTACTGCAGCAAGAGGTATCACTTGAAGGAAATAACTTGATAGGCAGAAAGCCTAGTTTCACAAGCTAGATTTTCTGCAGAGTTACCAACTCTGATTTTGAAATCTTGTATTACTATAAGTATCAAAATTTCAAAGCACAATATGTTCATTAGCTCCCAACTTGTTGATTGTAATAATGAAAGCTTGATTTAGAGACAGAATTTACAGTGATAAAAAGTTGCAGACTTTTTGTGAGAGAAGTAATTACAATGATAGATACTGATTGACTCATGAAAAACAATTGAATTGGATACCCCAGTGGGAGACCTAACAGTCAAAGAGTTGGAGTAACGACCTTGGAACCAAGATTCGAATTCCAGTAGAGGTTATACTAGGTGAATTTTTCCCACCTAACACAGTTATGTATCAGGTACCCTTAGGTTAGTTGAGGAGCGTGTAACCTGCCCGTTAGCTCAGGAGTGTGCAAGCTGGCCCAGATACCATGATATCCTTAAAAAGGAGTTGAAATGGTTTCAGGCTCTTCTTAGTCTTGCTTGTTATACGTTGTGTACTTGCAAACAAGTTTTCGGAAGGTAGATGTAATAACAAAAAGTTATTTACTACAAAGATATTGCTGTCATGTCCTTTTACATTGCATTTTCCTCTGTTTATTATTCTTTGCCAGAAGTGAAAATTTGCTATACTCTGTAATATTCAAAGGGTGGAGATAGAAGGGATAAATGATGTGGAACAATATCTCTGCTTTGTGCTACTTTTGTAATTCTTGGTGCAGTTTTATTTAACTGCAGGTCTATGAGGATGATGTATGCCTCTGCATTTTGGATGCAAACCCATTGTGTTTTGGGTAAGGTATCTTCTTCCGACCATTATCTTTTTCAGCATCTTTTGAATGTATTTCTTGCTATCTTGGCATTGGAAGATCTGTTTATCCCAGCATATGCATCATCTCATCTGAGTTGATCTTTTTTGGTGTGTTTGCTGAAAACTGACCTACCACATTGGGACCGTGATATGAAATTAGTAAAAGTATAGTAATTCAAGGAAAAATCCTTATGCATTCAGTCTATGAACAAAAAGCGAATATG